TATTCCTTTGATAATAAGAAACCTTCTCACACTGACGTATCACCTTCCTTGTGCAATCAATTGCTTGCACTACATAGTTAGGCTTTTTCATTAATTGATTCATCAAAGTGGCTAGGCAACCCCACCATGAAATTCAATGTCATGATATCAATGAGTTTCTCAACAGAGCTGAAAGAAGACCCACCACTGAGTACAACTTTCCTAGCCACCTCTTGCATTTCTTTCACCTTCTTGTGTACCATATTATCTCTATCCATTAACTGTTTCAGCCCATTCTCAATCTCCTCCGCCATTACAAGATCACTACCCCTTCTATAGTCCAGTCTCAGCTCCACTGCCAATCTAAATTCCCTCACCATCCTAAAAGCATTCAGCTGCTGTTCTGCATAAATAGGCCATGTCAATATTGGTACTCCAAACCACAAGCTTTCTAAAATAGAGTTCCATCCACAATGAGACACAAACCCCCCAATGGCTTTGTGGGCCAGAACCTCCACTTGTGGTGCCCAATCACATAGCATTCCCCTACCTTCTGTCCACTCTAAAAACCCTTCTGGTAACGTTCTCTCTTCCTTTTTTGTTGTTGTTGGTGGAGAACGCTTAGTCCACAAGAACCTAACTCCACTACGCTGAAGTGCTTGTGCTATTTCTCTTGTTTGAGGTGGATCAAAACTTCCTCTACTTCCAAAACAAAGAAAAACTACTGAAGAATCAGGTTGCTCATCTAGCCATTTCAATATTCTGTCATGTTGTGCATGATCCAAATTTGGGTTAGGATGACCCTTGAGATTAATCAGTGGACCAACAGCATAGATAGAAGGTGTTTGAATTTGACCGTTACATAATGCATCAATAGCATACTGCTCCAACTCTGAAAAAGTATTAACAATGATACCTTTGGAGTCCTGGAACCTCTGAGCAAGATTATAATAAGCAGCATATCCACCCTGTTTGCTAAAAACAGCATCAGGCATAACACTAGAAGGAAATGGATCAGGGAAACCCGGAATCAACCATTTTGAATCAGAATCACAGAACACATCACCAACTTGACGTTTCTGAAGGGAAAGCATGAGACTCAAAAACCCAACATTTGAGGGCATGAACAAATAAGAAGGGATGCCCAGGTCGTTTCCCACATCAATCATCGGTGAACAGAAAACATCTATGACCAACCCAATGACGGGATTTGACTGAGATGATGATAAAATGTTTTGTACGGTGGCTTTGACCTGGGGTTTGAGGATCTGCAAGAGGGTCCATATGTAGTGTGGTATTGATCTATTTAGTAGTTCCTGTGGAGGGGGTTCTACGTGGGGGAGATCAATGGCTTGGATTTGTGGTTGTGAAGCTGTAATTGATCTGATGTATGCATCGGAATAGGGAGCATGAGGGAGCTTCATGCAGATCATCGTGATTGAAAGATGGTTATGACGGTTGATCAAAATTTGTGCTAATTCGAGAGATGAACCTAAGTGGCCAATCCCCGGTATGGTAAAGAAGATCAACCCTGCTTTCTTCTTCATTTCAGCCATCAGTTTTCAAGTATGGTGGGTGGAACTGTGATTAACTCTTCCCTAAGGTTTGGCAGTTTGTGAGTTTGATTCAACTTCAGTTTGACCTTTCATCGTACAACATAGATGCAGATCTGAAATAAGAACTGATGCTTTTCTTCGTGGATCTAATCAAATAAAAAATCATTATAGGCCACAATCAGTTCAGCATGCTCAATTGTTATAGGCCACAAAGTAAATTTCAAAGGAAAGAAAGAGAAACAAGAAGGGCAAAGGATTATTGAAGAAATTGAAAACAAGGAAAGGAAGTATGAAAGAATTCAAGTAAGACATCAAAGAGTAAAAAATCAGAAGACGTTGGACAAGTGATTCTAAATTCGGATACCTTAATCAAGGTTTAGAAATTCAATCTCTGATTTTAACAAGAAATCACGATTAGAAATATTACTTTACTGTAAATTTGGATCAATCCAGTGCAATGAGTTTGGATTTCAAATAAAAGTTCGCATATTTCTTTTGTACAAAAAGAAAGAGAAAATATTAAATAAGAATCAGAGCCAGCCTTGAAGGTTAATGGAGTTACACCATTTAAGAATGCTACCGTTATTATATAGTCCGTTTTTTTGTTATATTATTTTTTATTATTAAGTAAAATTTAAGAGTTGTTAAATGATGAAAGCATTATTATTTTTCATTTTAGAAAATTTCTCGTTTGATCATTTTTCAGTTAGGTTTATTTGGTAGTTAAAAACTGTTAAAAACATTTCTAAGCTGGTATTTGACGACTCGAAAAATCTATATATCATAAGAGTAATAGTATTAGTAAATATATTAAAAAAAATAAGAAATATTTTTTCAATCAGGATTTGTCTATCATTAAAGTAAATTAAATTAAAGACTAATCAATCAGAAAAGGCCAGCTCTTCCAACTGAAAGCAATGAAAAATTATTAACATGAGGGTTACACTATCGTTTTGAGTCTTGGAATGGTCTTATGTAAATTGATGTGACATCTGACTAACTAACACGTGATTATCCATTTGTAATAAGATAAGATGTAACGTGTCCTACATTGAATAAGATAAAGTATTTAAGCCATGAGGTTTTTCTACTTAGGAGACTAATATCATGGGATTAACTCTCCTCTGATGGTAACTTTTATTGTTGGGATTCAAAAACCTAGTAAAACTTATCTTCTTTCGATTACTTGTTTTTTGGTTTTCTTTTTTATTTGCTCCCTAGAACTCTTTCTTCGGTATTTGTTCGCCTTGACGATTATATGTAAAATGTACTCCATATTAAAGTTAGTTTCCAGATAGTTTCAATGTACTAAATGTGGTAATAATGTTTCACCTATCTTTATTGATTTTTATACTTGTTTTAATGGGTAAGGGACCTCTATGGATTTTAAGAAAGTCCGGTTGCATTTAATCTCCTTTAATTTTAACATAGAGTATAGCTATCAATTTGACCAATTCTAGACAACTTGCTTAGACCCAGATAGGTTGGGATAAAAAAAAATTACATAGTAAAAAAGCCTAGGATAAACCGTCTACAAAAGCTTATAGGCCACAATTAGTCTCTAGACTCTTTTTCAAACATAGAAAAAAATATTAAATCTTTTAAATATATTATTGACCTACAAGCATCAATCAATATATAAATCAAAACTTAACATTCTAGTTATGCTTACTATCTTGATATTTTACGTGAACCCATTCATTTCAACTTTTATCTTAGGTCAACCTATATCAATCTTCTAATTAGGTCAAACAATTATGACCTTCGATCCAAATTGGACTGTCTCCATCTTCAATCTAGGACGATCCATCTCGACCATTTTCTCGAGTCGACCTGTCATGACATTCAGTTTGATTGGCTTGTCTCGACTTTTGGTCTGGGATCATCAATCTCGACATTCAATCAAAGATGACGAGTCTTGACCTTTGACCTAAGACAACTCGTCTCAACCTTCGATTTGGGATGACCTGTCTTGACCTTTGATTCGAGATAATTTGTCTCAACTTTCGGCTTGAGACAACATGTCTCAACCTTCGGCCCGAGCCTATAAGTCTCAGACTTCGACCCAACTCGACTTGACTATAACTATTACCTTCAACCTTCAATTCGAGCTAACTTGGCTCGAACTTTACTTCAGGTTGATTTAAATCGGCCTTCGAGAAGTGACAATTCAACTCAACCTTTAATCTAGATTGAAAGTGTTGTTTTTAAGAATTAATTAAAGTCTTGTAGGTCTAGATAATTGTCCTTATGATTAAATATCATTTGCAACTATGTCTAATTAAGAGCATAGTATAAGAATCTTACTATCATCCCAAGTAGTTTGAGACTTCTTTTATTTAATCAAAATTTTGAATGGTTCCATAATCAAAGAACATAACATTCCCCTTTAGTAATTTTATTCTTAGGATTCTACAATAACCAAACTTGGCCCTTAGTGAAACAAGGTATTTACATTCCTTACTTTTTGCAACCAACTTCGTTCTCTCTTTCTAGAAAATGTGCACATTAGTCATGCATCTAAACAGGTTTAACTTTCAAATGAGTGTAAAGTGCATTTCTTCTATACCATATTTACTCCAAAATCTTTCAACTCACATGTTTTTGATGGTGAGAAATTAATAAAAACTACTGCTGTTTTCGCAGTTACTGATTTTCACCCAAAATTATTTTAGTAGTTTGGCTTGAGTCAACAAGCATCTTTCTCTTTAGCTTGAGGCTATACCTGAATATCATGAATTTGAGGATGAGTTTTAATTTGATTAATTCTATTTGAATTGCTTTGAAGCAGCTATTTATAATCCTGAAATGCCGGTTGATATGGTGCCATTTTTTCATGTTATGTGACCAATTCTTGCTAAGACACATAAACACTTATTATTTAAGCATTAGTTCAGTTGTCATTTTCTTCTTTCGTCTATTTTCATAAACAAACCTTTGACTTTTGTTAGACAGAGTTTGCACGTATGATTAACCAAAATATAAATCCACGAGTGTTGCATAATCACCAATTTTTTCCAACCACCATCTAAATGCTATTCATTCTTAATGCGAATACAAGAAAATTATGACTCGTTGGTATGATAAACTACCCAGCACAACAATAGGACAATGCATGATATTGCTTCTGTTATATGTTTCATTAGGCTTGAATGTCTTAAAAATTTAAGTGTACAACAAAACAATATTTGCTAGTTATAGACCCATTAAAATCACTTATACTACATAAAAAATTATCATTGGTATTTATTAGTTGCAATTTGCGTTCAATAAAAGTAATTCTTATCTACGCAGCTCAAGGAAAATGTGTCATCCTCTGTTTATGGCAGAATCAGGAAATGGTGTAACCTTGTAATGCATGAAAAATATAAATATGAAATGTGATTTCTTGATTGATTAATTAGTAAGGTAATATGATTCATGACAAGCCATACTAATAAAGATGATTCCAAGTTTCAGAATTTGCACAATTTTCTTCTTACTTTGTAAATACTAAATATCTTATTATTTCATCAGAAGATATATATTCTTGCAGCCACATAACCCAGAAAAAGAAAAGGAACATGAGACCTTTGTATCTTGTTCATCAGTAAAAGTAACCTCAAGCCTGTCCAATAAAAGTTATAAGAACTTCACAGTTGAAAGTATCTTATGTTAGGCAGAGAGGTTAGCCTTTTAGCTTTTTCGTTACTTCAGCAATGTATTTACCCTGGTAAAAGGCCTGCTGCAGTTCTAGTTCAGTAGGTTGACGAGATCCATCTCCTGCAAAAGTTCCAGCCCCATAAGCAGAGCCTCCTTTAACTTCATCCATCTCAAACATGCCTCTTCCAAAAGTATATCCAAGAGGAACAAAAAGCATACCATGATGAGCTAATTGAGTTATTGCTGTCAATCTGCAAACACAATATAAACAATAAACTGAAGTAAACTAAAATCAGGGTAACAACAGAAATAATGAGATTTATTGATGCATATAATTCATGCTAGTATTGAGGGAAGGTGTAGACAGTCATGCAAATTGAAAAGTAATACAACTCCTTGTTCTAATGTATGATCAATAGTTGCATAGAGGATGGAACCAATTTACTAACATTAAGGCTATTTCTTTTATAGAAAGAGGCTATTTTCTTTTCTATTCATGTGAGAAGAACCAAATGAAACATTTTGAGGCACTGTGAAGGGGATACTTACGCTGACAGTTCTTGGCCTCCACCATAAAAACCAGTACTCCAGAAGATTCCAGCAGGTTTGCCAGCCAGTGCTTGAGATGCCCATAACCCACCAGTGGCATCAAAGAAGGCCTTGAGCTGGCTTGGCATCATGCCAAAACGAGAAGGAAAACCAAATATCAAACCATCAGCCTCTACAAGTTGTTCTGGCCTTATGTCTGGTACATCATTTGGTTTAGAAGGGGCTTTCAACTTTTCCAATATTAGGTCAGAAAGCATCTCAGGTACCTGTTTTCACAAACCAAAAACAAACTATCAACTGAAATTGAAGGGATCAAATTGAAAAAATTGCAAACTCAAACTGAAATTGCTGCCATTAGAGATTCGTTTTCAAGATTTCCATAACAGATAACCAAAACCACAATTTAGCATCAGGGGACCTGTCATCCAAAACAGAAACTTGCACATTATAACTGATAGAAAGAATTACCCGCCAGAGTGTTGCTTCAACACCTTCAACTGCAGAAGCCCCTCTTAGCACTTCTCTTGCCATGGTGTCCACATGTCCATACAAAGAGTAATACCTACAGAGATTGATGCAACACCTCAAGGTCATCAAACTATAAAATTGAAGAGTATGATTGATGAATGTTTCAGCTAGAATATGAATGATAAAAGAATTCAACTAAAGTAGCAGTTGAAAATATCCTTACACAATGTAGACCTTAGTGACAGCCATTTTTTATCTGTTAGCGTTTGATCAGCTTTAGAAAAATGGGGTGTGCTCCAGGATAAAGGGATAAACAACTAGCAAATTGAGCAATGGAATTCCAAGGTGTGATGATTTCAGAAGAAAGAAGAATAGAAAGATGAAATCATCTGAAATTCATTATCTACAAAAAATTTAGGCAAGGTTATGGTATGGACAGTAGAAGCCACAGAAACCTATGAATTGAATTGAGATGATGGAACAGAGAGGCGTGTATTGAAACCTGACAACGAAAGTGACATCAAATATATCAAATATATAAATAAATATAAAATGCACTAAAAGTTTTTGCAATCGCCTTTATGAGGCGCATAATCTTTTCAAATTTAATCTATTTCATTGTCGTTTATTATCATTTTCTGTAACATTATATAAAAAAAATACATCATTATTATTTCCTTTAGTGTGTATATTATCAAAATTATTATTTCTTGATCAATACAAAATTAATTTATTATTTAATCAAGTAATTGAATAACCTTTGTTTAATTTTAAACAATAAATTAATAATTTTTACTTAATTTTTTAATGTCTTTTTTATAAAATTGTATATAATTTTATACTACGTTATTTTAATATATTTTAACATTGTTTTTGTAAAATTATATTTCTGTAATTCTACTATTTTAATGTAATAAAAATATAAATGTTTTTTCTACTGGTAATTATAGTAAACAGATTTTCTTTTATAATCTTTTTTACAATGTATAAATTTTACCATTCTATTTTTTACTGGCAAAAATGCATGTATATATGTCTATACATTTTTATTTTATTAATATTATATTATTTAAAAAATATAATTTTATAAAAATAATATATAGCTAAAAATGTCTTTTATTTATACCATAATATATAACTAAAAAGGATGATATAATTATTTTGTCACTATTCTTTTCTATATGCATTATTATTATTATTATTATTATTATTATTATTATTATTATTATTATTATTATTATTCTTTAAATTAAGCTAGTTATCCACAATAAAAACCTAGAATGAAATTTTAGAAACTAATAAAAATAATTTATATTTATAATTGTTTTTTCAATAATTATGACAAAAAAATTATTTTTTAATTTTATTACTAAAAGAAATAAATAAACACAAATTCACATACTTAAATATATTTTAGCTAATATTGATAGTTTTATTTTTTTATTAAATTAAAACAGTTTTATTATGTAAAAAATATATAATTCAACATCTCTATTGCATAATCCTTAAACTAAAAAAGTAAAAATTTAGATATTGTAACAGCATAAAAGATTATTTAGGATACTATAAATCCATTAAAAGATTTGTACAAATATTGTAGTAATTTAAATTATAACCTAAACATATATTAATTATATATATATATATATATATATATATATATATATATATATATATATTAAAAGAGTACCACAAAGTTCTATTATCCGTGTAGATGTACGAGTTTATATATTTTTTTATATCTATTTATTGGTTAATAATATATATAGACTACAAATAAAATTATACACTAAGAATATTCAATAAATAAAATATCAATTAATAACTTTTAAAAGACTTATATTTTAAGTATTAATATTGTGATATGTGTAAATGTACGAGTTAATA